AACTAATCACCATTTATTCAAAAGTTTCACCCATACATTACTATGGAAATGATGATATTAACGTAACTTGTGATTTATTGTTGTTGACATCAAGTAATACTCGTGATTTTATTTCCGTATCGACAATAGCGCACTCAAATTTCATTATACTTTTTAACTCGCGAATGTTCTCATTTCATACAACAGGAATGCTATTCTCAATTTATACTTGTAAAAAACTCGTATTAATTAATATAATAGGAGTCATTTTAGATTTCTCTTAGTAATATAACTAATTGTTTGTGTTGTTGTTTTTGGGTTTTCAGATGATATTGTTTGTGTTGTTGTTTTTGGATTTTCTGATGATCTTGTTTAATTAATTATTTCCTCTGGCAAAATGTGAAGAAAGGGCACTAAATAACCCATGCACGCCAGGCAATTTTTATATCGAACTGACAATTTCACTGCTTTTGAGGATGAAAATTATCTATCGATTTGGTTATGAACAAAAGTAGGTCAAAGGGAAGAACACTCAATTGTACCTGCATGTGGATTTGGTTTGGCTGCTGAATGGAAAATTGCAATGTGTTTAACTTTGTACACATTATAATTAACCTTTTTAGTCTTTATTTATTATGGTTTTCCAGCTTAGGAATTAATTAACTCTCCTCCTTTTATCTTTCTTTTTTGCTTCTGTTTACTTTTCATTTCCTTTGTAAACAGCTAAACATGCTTCGCAAAAGATACATTTTAGCATGCCCAGACCACAACTAGTTAGGTTTAGGTTGGGATATTTGCATTTTCAAGATAAGGATATGAATCATGCCAGAATTGCTAGTGCCGTCTAGATCAAACATTGTCGATTAGGACGAGGAACACATAGAAACAACTAATTTGAATGACATAATGTATATTTCAAAGCACTAAATATAAGAAAGTATTTTTTATTACTTTAATTACAGAAATATTCCATGTACATGTTCATGGAAGAGAAAGAATGTTCAACGTTAAACTAGATGAAGACTTACAACAATCTAAATGAGGTGCTCATCAATTGAATTAATTAAAAGGTATACAGAAATAACAGTAAGATACTAAGATGGTCGTACAATACTCATACTATAACCATCAATATTCGGTTTACTGTCGACTAATCACAAACAAATAACTCACGAAAAGAAACGAAGGAAGAAACAAGATGCGTGTTTTGTGGTTTTCGATCGCTAATAGTTTTATGGTTGTTGAAGTGGTAGCTAATAACCTATCGTATTAGTTTGAGTATCTTAAGCCATAACCCAAATACGATAACCTTTCCACACTAGCTAGAATCAAATGGACTAGGGTACGTGCAATACCAAACCCTAATTATTTGGGACACTTTGGACTACTATACCCATACCCAGGACTGATAATCAATATGGTTACGGTTTAACCGAACTGACATGTCACAGAAATAGGGTCAATTCCTCCAACCGTACTAGCTGCATAAATACGAACACAAACTGTGCGAGTAATTAGCTGAATATCCATTAATACACACCTCCCGTACCCTTTTGTTTCCATCGTGGAGTCGTGGTTCAAAAACAAGATCAATTTTCTTTTCATTTTCTTCCTATTTTTCTTATGTTCAGTCCTCTAAGAAAATTACAGATATATATATTCATCGGGGGATCTGACAAAAAAAATTATGAGGATCCAAACAGGAGCCGGGCCGGGCCACCCGTCAATTCCAAAACATTCATACAGTGCAGCAGCAACGCACGTATACCCTCCAGAAAAACTCGACGGTCAATTTCCCACTTTCTTTCATTTCACTCCCTGCAAAAAATTCGTACCCATTTTCTGTTTGATCTGTAGATTAATAATTTGCACGATTTTTCTGAAAGGGATTTTTAAATTAAAGTGGAATTTTGAAATCGACTGCTCAGGTGAAACTCTGAATCTGAATACCCCACTCAATATTTCGTGTATGCAAAAAAAAAAAAAAAAAAGAGGTCAGAGTGCGGTTCTTACATGCAAGTGTGCAGTATTGCACAGATCGGATTTATGATCATTATGATGTCTTTTTTCTTTTTTGCTATTCGATATTTCATTCTTTTTCTATCCCCCCACGAGGTGGTTAGAAAAATATTTTCTATAATTAATAACATAGTAAAAGGCTGCAAAAGGTGCATTAGTACAGAAAAAGAGAGCATGGTGAAATGATGAATGTGCAATAGTAACAAATGCCATGAAACTCGGTTCATTGTTGGATCTCTTCAAATGATCGAATTATGATTTCCAGAAATCATGTCATAAATTTGGTGAATATATTGATAATTTGTGTCAGATTTGCGATGAAGACATTGTATGATTAGATGATGGAGGTGATACTTTTGTAGATAGAGTTAATACTCTATTCAAATTGTTATAAATGTCCGAAAAGTAATCATATGATGCTAATTCACATTAATATCACAACGTCCATGTTGCAGTGCAGTTAGATTAATGTCAACAAGCAATTGCATTCTTAAACTGCTGAAATTGGATATGAGTATTGAGAAAAACTAGATTTAATTATTGATCGATGGACTGAACCTTTTAAATTTTGACAATATTGTATGTTTAATTAGGGAGACCAATATGTAAGATAAGATAAAATTAATGGTTGTAATGTTTATTAATTTGGTTTAGGGGAAGTAACTAGAGCAATCCAGCTGTAAAGTAAGTATCACACACATGGAAAACAATAGCCTTTCAACGTTTAAGCTCATACGATTAATTAGTATTTGATTAATTATATTGGATTAAAGTAGGATAAGGGTTGATCATCTTTTACTCTTTGCTTCTCCTTTCCCAACACCAACATATCTCTCATTTCATTGTCCTACACATTTTAAAATTATCCTCGAATCCATCCACTCCAAATTGCGACACAAAACTTTCAAAATGCCTACTTTGACTCACTGTCGAAATTTTGACGTTGAATTATTTTTAGCCAAATTGGTAATTCAAATGTTCAATATAATCACAATTAAGGGTTGCTCAAGTTGATAACATGTTCTCTTTATATGGATTCTAATTTATTATCATGAAAGTATCGTTTTAATGGTCATAAAAAAATTAGATGACAGTGAATAAAGATAACTATCTTTTTAATAAAAGAGATATATCGTGCTTTATGTATGCTTTCACAATATATGATCATCATACTACAACACTATTATTCTCCCATATAAAAGTATCGAGCTCCGATCCATATAACGATTGCGTAACAACTAATATGGGAAATTGCGTGAACAAATACGATAGAGATCGTCTTAGTTATTTGAAAAATCATCTACAAACTTATCTTAAAACGATGGAAAAATCATTATCTTAAAGAACCATTCTGATCCAAACACTTATTTTGAATTTTTGTTAAGTGTAAAGTTGGCAACATCTCAGATGGGGCTTCTGTTTTCTATCAAACCTTAAGTGGGAAAATGATTTCCAAATATTCATTGTGGGTGGTTCTTTTTCGCTGTTCATATGTTTTGGATTATTTGAGCATAAGGTTTTTTTCCAACGACTAATTGCATTTAAACGCAATCTATTGATGATTTGAATTAGGATTGATAGCAAAAGCTTTTCGACTTTTTGTCCCCAATTATTTATTTATTTTACTACCATATTGAAATTTCATGCAACTAATTACGGGCAAAAGAGGAATGACAAAAGGATGTAAAACTTCAAACCAAATAAAATATCAAAACTACTTCCCTTGAATAGGTTGGTGTAGGAGGTGATAAATGTTAGCCTCTCCTCTAGGCAATCCAATTCAAATCCGTCGTTGTCATAGCCTCGTCCTTACTCGCATCGATCAATAATGTATCATGGAATCAACTCGTACCTAATTCGTTTATTGCGGTTCATTTGTTGAGTATATTGTGATGATCCCGAAATCAGCTCATTTATAAAATTCATATTGTTTGTTTTACACAGCGTGTGTGACTACCCAATAATCGATCCCAATCTAGTTAAACCTCCACCTCATATCGCTATGATATTCGTTCACTTGATCGCCTACCCTTACCATGAATCGAAAGTTAAGGTTAGCTCATAGTACCTTTAACCTCCACCAGTTAAAATTGGTTTACCTCAACCAATTTCTAACCCCTTTGCTTCCCCGGTGGGTTATATTATACGTTTGTTTGTTCAGCCTTTCACAGAAAGAGGAGAAGGAAGCATGAAGGGGACCAGTAAAACATTTAACAGTGAAAAGGTAAAAAAACAAAGAAGAAAAAACCAACTGGACTTGTTGGAAATGGTGGTAATCGAGTCCAGCTTTATACGAGGCAGAGCGTAGAGCGGGTTTTTCTCACCAATCCTGTGAAAGTTTGAGCGCCAGCCAGCCCGGCCATTTCTGTTTCCTTCTTCAGTAAAAAAAGAAGAGATAATTACTTTTCGGACCGGTACCACCTCCCATAATTATAACGTCGTTGAAGAATAGCCTCAGGCCGAATCCACCATCTTTATCCTTCAAAATCCAAGAAAAATGGTCTTTCGAAAAAAAATGCTCAAATAATTACGAAAATGACATCTCAAAATATATTGGCCCAATTCGGTGCTTAATTGACTTAATCATCGGCGCAGAATAGGATCAATAGACTTTATTATCGGTGGAGATTAGGCTCGAGCAGAATCCGTGATCTGTAGTCTCCAAAATCGAAAGAAAATGACATTTCGGAAAACTCGCCTGAAATCTGTGATGGTGCACCTTTGGAGTCTGCCAAATATGGACCCGGAAAAAATCCGTCCAAACTAGCCTTGGTGATTCTATTCTCCACGGATGATAAGTCCATTAAGCACCTATTTGAGCGAACAAAGTCCATTAAAAAAGCTATGATGGACTTTATCATACTCAAATTGGACCGAAGTATACTGAAACCTTACCAAGGTTTCAAACCGTACTAACTAGGAAAGCTATCAGACTCGAACTGAACCGAAGTATCAAAAGAAACTAACCGAATCATCTGCTTGAAAGCAACCCAGAAAAAATAATCACTAGAGTAATGCCCGAAACGAAATCACCAGCAAAAAAAAGTGATGAGAGAGGATCAAAGCAATTTTCCTTTTGAAAACCCTTTCTGCCGAGGTGCGAACAAAATGCAGCAAAACTTTGGTTAATACAGCATAGCAAAGATATTACATGAGATGATAGTAAGTAGTAAACGTAGGCATATTACATGAGGAGATAAACAAATTATGAAGGCAACCCTCTAAACTCATCGACTGACTTCACTTTTTAGTATAGCTGTATATACGACAAACCTAAAACAACATTCAAATCCTGTTTTTCTGGTTCTTTTGCCCTACTTGACTACTCCTTTTCTTTTACGCTCCTTCAGGTCATTGGGTATGATAAATACAGAATCTACACAAAGCCCACCTTTGGAATGTGTGCAATCGATCTGTTTCATAGAGAACCGAACCTCGGACGTGGGGTCTGAGTCGGTCACCACGAACTCGCCCACCTTGTACTCGATCCAGTAGCCACGCTTGTGATTGCCATACTCTTCGTCAAGTTCATCGGTATCGTCCAGACAGCATTCAGACGATGCCTGCTGGCCGTCGGATGTGGACAACTCGAACCGGACTGGTTTGATTTCCCAGCCATGGGTTTGATCGAAATGACATACACGTCTTCCGAGACGTTTGGCAAATCTTCCAAGGTGAAGCCTGAAGGTTAGTGTATAGATATCAGGAGGGAAAGGGAACTTTACAACCCCGTCTACTTCGAACCACCATATTTGCTGTAGATAGGCCACAACGTGGAATCTGAAAAAACAACGATTATGTACTGTCAAAATCAACAAAGAAATTCTCTACCAAGCTGATCTGGGAGTCAGTCAGACTTCAAGGGAACAAAGTTGAGTGGTGTGCTACTCTGTGGAACAAATTTGTGCTACCAAGGCATCGATTTCTTAGTTGGCTGGTCATTTTAAATCGAATTACTACAAAAGATAAGTTGCTGGAGTGGGGTTGCGTAACAAGTGGGCTGTGGAAACTATGTGATTTGGAAATAGAAACAAGAGAGCAACTCTTTTGTGCTTGTCCATTCTCACTAGCAATTCTTGCAGAATTGGTCCCTGCTGTCAGTTGGCCTGGAGAAAGGGAGGGAATGGTTAGCAGAGTATGTTCCCTGACAAGGAAGAGGGATGCTAGTGGCAGAGTTATAGGCAGCCTCTGGTGTTGGTTTTTGGCTGTTGTATGGAAGGAAAGGTGCCAGCCTATGTATCGTGGTTCAATGCGGACAGTGGAGAGTATTTTGCTGCAAACAACTTTAGATATGGCTACCTATTGTTCTTGTAATAGTGAATATGCTTTTGTAATGGCAGAGTCTTTCTCTAGCCTATGTAGATAGTGAAGGTAAGTGTTTAGGTAGCAGTAAGTGGATTCTGCTTCTGTCTGTTGTATGCTGTATGACTCTAAGGGGAGTTTTTGTGGAAGCTTGGTCTGATTTGGACCAATTATGGGCTTAATAAAGAACAACAAAGAAAGAAACTTTACACTCTTGAATGCCAAGTGTCGACATAATTATACTGCACTGGAAAGCAAGAGTTGGAGAAGAGATACTTTATCAAGCAAGAAAGTAATAAGAGCTTAACCAACTGGAGAACTACACCATAGAAATATGAGAACGACAGCATTTCCGGAAACAATCGAGAGAAAGACTAATGTACAGGGAGCATCAAACCGAGAAAAACTGTTGAATTAGCTAGGCCATAATTTGCAGATCAGCTGAGCTTTGGACAAAGGGGCTCCAAGTTTACTCCAAGTCTCATCATTAGGAGGGAGAAAGCATACAAGCATCTTGCAGATACCTTTTGGTCTAGGCAGAATTCATTTTTGACTAATACAATAATACCCAATCAACACTTAAACTAAAGGAGTAGCTCCATATCCAGAGAATTCAATGAGCTATTTGGGACTTTCAAGCTATATCCAGGGGCACTAATCATTCATACGTACTGGGTGACTACCTACAAAGGAGAAAAAATTCAACTGAAAACACACAGCTCCCACAAACCCAAGCCATCCTCCGGTTCCCAAAATTACCGAATCCCTTTTCCGACAATCAATAGTAAATGCCATCATATCGATGTTCTTTTCGATTCTGAAGCACGAACGAGCTCGGCAGAACCCCCCTCAGCACATAACCAAGAACTTGGCAAAAATGAATTGATCATCTCTACTAGAGCAAAACTCACCCCCTTTGCCAAGCTTACTACTATTCCAAACCTATCATTTTGATCAACCTCAAAGGAAGCTAGTATTATAACCTAGCAGAATGGATTACTAGTACCTAACTGTTATGGGACAATCCAAGTAGCACATTGGTAATACAAGGGAAGGGACCCTTGTATATTAGTGTCAACCAAGCTCATTAGAACGAGGCCTTTTGGCAAAAATGAATTGATCATCTCTACTAGAGCAAAACTCACCCACTTTGCCAAGCTTACTACTATTCCAAACCTATCATTTTGATCAACCTCAAAGGAGGCTAGTATTATAACCTAGCAGAATGGATTACTAGTACCTAACCAATTCAGCCTAACTCCTCGGACAGCTATTCCATACAGTACATATAGTCCAAACAGGACCCTCTCGGAAATCCTAAGCACATATTCTGCAAACGGAAAGCATCAGGTGAAACAGATCTTGACAAACAAAACCACTGCAGAAGATAAGGTTCACACACCGAAGCTGTTCCAGTGAGTGGTCATGTCTCATGAGTCATGACAATGGGAGCAAGATTAGAACGCAAATGCCAGCAGGCCTTCTACAATCCCATATAGGAAATTATCTCAACGCAAACACTTGTTGGAAATAGCACTAACAATTGAATCCTAGAGAATTCATTTCTACTATGAAGAACCAACTGGTAGGACAGAACATAGAAGGGAAGCAAGCAGACAGATCACTAGTTCAATTTCCAATAGCACCTCCATGTTCAGTTAAACTTTCCACTCCCAAGAAGATAAACACACAGCATGGGGAGGAACATTCTGCTTCTTGCTTCATCATGAAGCAAAACACAGGAGACGAATCCACATGAATACTAATTGCTATCAATCGTGCATCAGAAAGCAAATAAGAAAGGAGATTTAATCAGAAGAACCAACCTGGATTCTTCAGTAGCAACCCAATTCCAGTACCGCCGATCCTCGATCCCGGTTATGGCCATGCCTTTTGCCGATATCGACACGCAAACCCTCCCCGTAACTCGGTCCAACCATAGCTCCTGCATTCAACCAAAACAAAACTTGAATTGAAACCGGAAAAGCCACAGACGAAAGGGAAACGAATCGAGAGAGAGGGAGAGAGAGAGAGAGAGTAAAAACCTTGTTGCCGTCGTCGAAGGGGACGGGCCTGGAGAGGAGAGCGTAGATGTCCTTCTTCTTCGACAAGTCCTTGTGGCGGTCGGAAGGCAGCAAATCGAGCAGATCCAGGTAGTTCCTCGGAAGCTTCTTCTCCCAAACGGAGTCCGACGACGCCGCGCCCCGGAACGCGTGGTTGAGCCGCGCGAGGTTGCAAATCTCCGGCGGCGTCAAGTAGGTGAAGACGCAAGCCACGCAGCTCTCCGGTATGTCGCCGAGCCCTGGCCCTATGGCCGCGCCGTTCGCACCTTCCGTCAGGTTCGATAGCGACGCACCCATTCCACCCTCCCCTCCCGCTCCCGCCGGAAAATGACGTCAGACAGAACGATCAGTCCAACTAATTCTGCGTTTCTTCCTTCTTCTTCTTAATGTTGCTCGCGCTTGCTTGTGTGCGCTCTCAGGTCATTCGCGGAGGGGAGTGTTGGGCTGGTGAGAAAAGTTCAGGGGTAGCAGCAGTGGTGGAAGCCGGAATTTCGCGGCTTTCCTTCATAGCTTTCTTTTTCTCTCCCTCCCTCCGTCCGTCCTTTATTTTTCCGGGAAAGTTAGGGCAGGAAAATTGGAGGCAGAAGAGAGAAAGGGAGGGATAGGGTGGTGAGTTCTTACGTGGGGTCCAGTATTAGGAGAATTGAGCTAAGCCCCTTTCCTAGTTTCCTTTCCTTTCATTTTTTTGGTTTTGTTTTGTTTGATAATTGATAGATTAAACATGAAAATTGGAAGAAGATCTTGCTTAATTTCAAATTTAAAGTCATATTAAGAATTAGTCTGTCTTAACATATAATTCATTAGAACATTGTTACGAGTAGGAATAATAATTTTTCAACATACTGATATTGATCCATCATGAAGAATATTTATAAAGAGAATAGATGAAGATAGGATGAATTTCGTTAGGGATGAATTTAGTGAAATTACCTAGCTTTAGGCGCTACTTATTATTAAATCTTCTTGTTAATAAATTGGTAAATAAAAGAGGGAGGTGCATTTTTTTTTCTTTTTTTTTTTTTTTTTTGCAATCCTCCTAGATAGCTTGAGTTAAGCACTATAAACCAAATATTGCTTTAATTTGCTAAAACCAAATAACTAAGTTTAATAAGAGTTGAAATTAATCGACCACCACCAGACAATTGACGTATAGACAGTCTCGTTGAGGCACTTTTGGCAAAATCTGTGCGGCTCCAAATGTTCGAATTGCCTTCTCCAGAATTGTTTGCTTGATGCTCATTTGGGGAGATCACATAATTAATTAATTGGAAAGAAACTCCAAAGGACTTTCTCCTCACTCCACTCCAAAATTTCGATGTGATGGATAATTAATAAGATCTAGTGTTATGCTCTGTGGCTTAATTAGTTTAGTGGTTGTGTTAGAAACATTGTGGTGTGATCTAATCAATCCCAAATAAAAGAGGAAGGATAAATAAGGTGTAAATTAATTAAAGAAAGCGAATATGTGATTAAGGTAACATACACAAACCATTGCTCATATATATGAAAACAAAAAATCAAATCAAACAATAGATGGACAGCTTAATAATAAAGATTGAAAGGTCAAATGATAAATTAGCATATGTGTAGAGATGACTTTTACTATGCTATAAAGTATTGGTGATTTAATGTACAACTTGAAATTGTAACGTAACTTAAATGCATAAATTCAGGTTGTATTATAAGAGAATTTGTACCCTTATGTTACTTAACCATTACCTAAATGTACAAGTTCACGTTGTACCATAAAAGAATTTGTTCAAAAGAGTATAAGAATTTGTACCATAACGTAAAGGCATAACTTCAAATTGTATCATAAAAACAAAAGTCTATAACACCAATACTATATAGCATTGTAAAATTCCTCGTGTATAGAACATAATGATATGAGGGAGGTAGGGAACAAATGAACAGCCACAGCGTTAGTCTTGATTGTGATATTCACTTTAGCTATCAAACAAAGTTCATTTCTTCACATCACTACACTATGCAGTAGTACCGTTCTGATTTCTTACGATAGATGAAAACATGGCCTGCCCTCGATGGTTATGAATCATAATCAACTCTAATCACCTCCCCTAGATAAAATAAAAAACATTACCTTTATCGATCGAAAAAAGAAAACCGTTTCAATTGAGTGGTTATAGTATCGAATTTTGTATATAACTAACAATCACGATTGAAGTCTTCTAAAAACATAAAAGATACTGAAATCAAATATCAAAATCCATTATCTATGAACTGAACATGGGAAGGATCTTGTGTATAATCCAAACATGCCAAACCTATAAAATCACATATCTTACAATCTTTGGTTAGATGTTTACCACATTAATAAAACTCGTATTGAGAATGGTAAGACACGAGGAAATTTTATAGGTTTTGCATATTTAAATTTTTCATCAGAATTGAGGACGAAACCAAAACGTGGAAATCATGAGTTACCTATCTTTTTCAATCGGTATACAAAACAAAATTACATGATTATGTGCCTCATGATCTCCGTATATATTCTATTAATTAACAACCAATCTATATATATATTATATAGTCTATAACTTGTATAGGTCGTTTCCTTTAACAATTTGCTTAGGCATGACATGTTTATTGCCGTAACAATCAAAATAAGCACAGTTTTGATTAACACAAACCACGAAAACCATGAGTTATCTATCATTTTCCTTCTTTAAACTAAACAATAAAATAATAATAATAAAAATGACGTGTCTCATCTTAGTTCCTAGTTAACCACAATTTCGGCAACCTATACGTTGAGAGTCAAACTTATTATCTTCAAGAAATGTGAGCTATGGCATCAGTCTCTGAGTTCATGTTGTTTTCAGACAACACATAATTAATATTATGATTAAAATTTTGTAGGGTTGTTTTTGACGGAAAGTTAGCCATTTATTTTATTTATTCTAAGACTAAGTGATGAGATCTTGTTGGAATGTTATTCTGTTATAAAATAACACCACCCCTGGTGGAATGAAGATTTAAGACGGTACTCCAATGCATGTATGGTTTTGTAGAGAGTAATCGAAGAGGATTTGGAAAATAATAAATTACATGAAGATACCCATGAATTTCGAATTCATGTAGATGGTATATTGTTGGCAATTAATTTCACGGTATTATGTTTTCGTATTATGTAGAAAAGAAACGGAATGATGTTCAATCGTTCTGTTCTTCCTTTTTTCGGATAAAATATAGTGATAGAGTAGGCTTTAACACATGTGTCCTTTTGGAACCATATATGCAACGATGAGTAGGAATCCATATTATGTAGCAAAGTTACGGAAATGACATTCAATCGTTCTATTTTTCCTCTTTCGGAAGCATGTATGCAACGATGGATAGGTATCCATATGTTGCCATGTTGGTGTTGCACGACACAGAACAGAACAGAACAGAACAAAAGCATGTGCTGTAATATGTTGGTGTACGTTGATCATCAGTTGGGTCTTGTCCTTCTACAAACTTTCATTTTTCTAACTAATAAAGAGAGATTCACACTCAATTGCCGTCCGGTCGGTCGGTCGGTCGAAGCAGACAAACAAAAGTGGGAGAGAGGGTTTCTTTTAATCTCCTCCTGTTGCGAGCTTTAATTAGTTTGTTCCCTGCAAATTTAGGTGCGTGTTTGTGTTTATCATATGCATGCTAACGTACGTGCATATATATGATTGCTCCACCAGGCCAACACGCGTGCAGTTTTCAGCCACAATTCGATCGGTACTGGAGAAGATGCTGGGCTGGCAGTTAGTTGGCACAGAGAGGGTATATTAATATTAATTAAAAACGATGATTACTACTTAATCTGCTGCTTAGTAGCTATCTAATTCATCCAGCCGCCATTCCATGCCATGTTCCTTGCCAAAATATCAACTCTGATACGTAACATGCATGTATAGCCATATCATGAATAGTTTAGAGCTCATTTATATTTCGGCTTCCTGGTTGGAAAAACAAGATTATCATCTCAACATGTTAAAGAAATTCCAAGGGATTCTATCTCTACAACAACAATATTTAATAACACTGATTTAAGGGTTTTGTCTAGTAGTATTAATTATTACTACTAGTTTTGAAACTGAATGTCTCAGTTTCGTACTCCTACAATACTACCTAACCGTAAAAACTAACATGTGTTACAGAGTTTTATTGGCCGTAACACTCGCATTAAGGTTTTAACGGTTTCTAATATACACACGATTAATAATTTATAAATACGGTAGGTTGATTTTCTGCAAATTTCGATGTTTGGATATTTCTAAGATAATCTCCGCATATAGAAGTAATCCTAAGGGATTCATGTACTTTGAATTCCACTTGATAAGTTTGAGTGATTGAACTTAGTTAATTATATAATTTTACAAATATTGGTCAATTGTCACCTCTAACAAACGACAAAATTACTATTAACATCCATACAACAATGTTTCAATGCTTAAAGTTACAATTATGGATGGGAACTGAGCTAATGCTTAACTACTAAACAAAGTCTTTTGTCTTCTACTCTTTTTTTCCATCAATGCTTAACACATGTTTATGGCTTTATGCCATATCCCAAGGCCATTAAGAAAAGAGAAAGTACATGTAATCCTCACTGGCCCAAAATCTTGCCAGAAAAGAACATTTAACCAAAGATGACTGAAAGGGTTCGTAGCCCTTGGGGGAGCATAGCCCAAAGGCCCTGTCTACTCTATCTCCCTAAAGCAATGTGCCTCTTTGGGCTCAACTCAGCCCAATCAGCTCCATTAACACAACCAATAATGAGTTTTGGATTCTTATGGTACGACTCCACTAGATTTCTTAAAACTGGATTAATTATTTAAAAATGAAGTGATACATGCATTAGCAAACCTCTATAGTATAATAATATATCAACACTAAACCACTGCCCAAAATGGCAAACCGACGGTATTAGAAATCTAGGCAATCAAATTATGGATCCGGCCGGCGGGTGGACTTTTCATCCGTAGATACTCCAATTTCAGACAAATAAATATGAGGTCACTAAACGTTGTGATCATTGTTGAACTAACATATGACTTTAACTTATCAACAAAGTACTGACCGGTGGAAAGTAACACAATGTTTACTTTATCTGTCTCTCCTAGATTCTCCGTCTGGATAGACTGGATTGTCTGCTTGAAACATATCAAACTCATCCATATTCCAAAATCCAAGCTTCAATGATGAATTCTATAAAATTGAGAATTTGATGACCGATTTGTTAGCCACTAAAAAGTTAGGTAGCATTGATGTAGTTGACCCTTCCCAGCCCAGTTTCGGGGAAATCTGTGGACTGTGGGTTATCGTTTTGCCGAGAGAGAGAGAGAGAGAGAGAAGGAAGAAAACTGTTGAGCCGAAAATGGAAAGAAGAGGAAAGGAACAAAACCATGGGCAAATCCTCTGGCGACCGCAAAACCAAAACCGGCTGCTCCCTCCGCCACCATCTCCTCCTTCTTCTGTATATTACTTTCCTTCCTCCGCTGACCACCTCCTTCTTATCCATCCCCACTCCTTATCTCAAAACCCTGCACTGCTTCCGACACCGCCGCCTTCGTTTGATCTCCATATCTTGAAACTATTCATCGTCTCCGGGTAGCTAGCTGTTTCCTCTTCTGGGATAACTGAGTGAAAAAGGCTTGCTTTTCAACCAAAGCAGTCCTCTGCGGCATTTCGTCGAACACCCTGTTCCGCTCATCATTTCTCCAGTTGGGTATGTACCAGATATTATTTCCCCCTCATAAAATTTCACTCTTTATCTCCTTTGAGGCCAAAAGGTACATTGTAATTCTGCTGTTTCCCTTTTCAATCTGATGTGCATAGAGCAAAAGAAAGAGAAGATATTTAATTAATTAGAAGCAAAAAAAGAGAGCTGCAAACTGCCGCCGCTGAAACCTTTGCTTGCTTTCTTTTCCTAGTGTTGAATGGAGCAACAACAGAATGGTTTACCAGGTGGGTTGTTTTCAGGAGGGATGGCATCTACAGGAATGCTACAGGGTCTAGAATTTCCGCTCCACCCGCAACAACCAAACCCTCAAAACAATCCCCAGCCAAACTTACAGCAGCATAGCTCACACCACCACCACCACCACCACCACCATCCTCAAATTGTGGCTTCTGCTTTTACCGCTCCCCACCAACTCCAACCAGTCAAACAAAACAACCCATACCCACCTCCTCAATTCACCACCTCAAAGCCCAAATCCCCGCTAACCGACGACGAGGATGCAGGCGGAGAAGACCCTCTCTCTGGTGGGGATCCCAAGCGAAAGATGTCACCTTGGCACAGAATGAAGTGGACTGACAGCATGGTAAGGCTTCTAATCATGGCCGTGTACTATATAGGCGATGAAGTTGGTTCAGAACCCAGCGAACCAGCCCCAACAACATCGAAGAAGAAGGCAGGAGGAGCCCAAGGAGGGTTGTCTCAGAAGAAAGGGAAATGGAAGTCTGTCTCAAGAGCCATGATGGAGAAGGGCTACTATGTATCGCCACAGCAATGCGAGGACAAATTCAACGACTTGAACAAGAGGTACAAAAGGGTCAATGATATCCTCGGCAGAGGAACAGCTTGCAAGGTTGTGGAGAATCAGTCTTTACTCGAGACAATGGATTTGTCTCCCAAGATGAAAGATGAAGTGAAGAAATTGCTCAGCTCCAAGCACTTGTTCTTCAGGGAAATGTGTGCTTACCACAACAGCTGTGGCCATGGCAACGAGGTCGCTGCTCATGCAGCTCCACCACCAAACCCTCAATTGCAGCAGCAGCAGCAGAAGTGCGCCCATTCTGAGAACAGTGGCCACGGGCCAGCACCCAATTCCCATGAAGATGATGACGAGGATAGTGATGATGATGATGATGACGACGACGACGAATACAATGAGGAAGAAGAATTCGAGCATAGCAGCCATGGACATGGTCAAGAAGAAGGAGATGACGAGGTTCGTGATCAAGAGCTGCGGCATAAAAAGGCAAGAAGGAAGGGGGAGGAGATGATGATGACAACCTCGGCTTCAATGAGGGAATTCGGTGGGGAATTGGCAAGCGTGGTGCAGGACGGAGGGAGGAGTGCGTGGGAGAAGCTGCAGTGGACGAAGGCGAGGATGGTGGAGCTGGAAGAGCAGAGAATTGGGTATCAGGCGCAGGCATTAGAGATAGAGAAGCAGAAGCTGAAGTGGGTTAAGTTTGCTGGGAAGAAAGAGAGGGAGATGGAGAGGGTTAAAATAGAGAACGAGAGGAAGAAGATTGAGAATGAGAGGATGGTTTTGCTTATAAGAAGGAAAGAGCTTGAATTGCTTGATGTTCAACACCAACAGCAACATCAGCAGCAAGTTTGTTCGAGCAGGAGGAGCGATCCCTCCTCGTTTGCTGGGTGAATGAACACATTGCAGACTGTCACAATAGGTTGCTTAGGATAATCTTACTTTTGGTTTATGATAGTGATAAATGTTTTGAATAAAAGGTCTACTTGGAAGAGAAAATATGGCTGATTGTTGGTTATTTTGAACATAAAATCGTCTGTCAAATGAAACTCAAAGAGGGAGGGAAAAAATGAATTTACACACCTGGTGGGACTCGAACCCACAATCGTTTGATTAGAAGTCAAACGCCTTATCCATTAGGCCACAGGTGCCTGTTGACTTTTTTTATTACAATTCAATTTTTAAATTCAATTATATGAAGTCATTATCTGTGTTAACATTACAAACTATCCACTAGTCCATCTAGGAGTACAATATTTTTGGCGCATGGATCCGCTTGGGATTGTCGAAATGAATTTAATTTGTGCTCTGTGTTAACTAAAATGATAACAACATAGCAATTAACATTCTTTGTTGCTAAGCATGTTTAAAGAAGAATTAGCATTTATACCCATTTAGATACTTCGACGGCTACTATGCATAAAACAATGAAACTTTTTCACAGCCACTAAGTCAAGATCTCCCCAATTTCCCCCTACCATTAGTTTATAAGCTGAACTAAAACAGATTGCTCAGTGTATTTTGTTTCCTTGATACAATCTCAAAACCAAGAATCAAAATACTCCCAAAAAAACTGGAGGCTTTCACACCCTCCGCAGTGAGTGCGTAATAATATCATAAACCCTTGCCACCCACTTCCTTATATAGTCGGTCTTACATGTAGGGAGGGGGGAAAATCTTGCCCATTGTGTCTTCGCCTCTAATCTTCAAGCTCGATGATCTTAACCACCGACGCGTCTCCGACTTTCTGGCAGACGACTACTCTGTCGTGGGACTTGATCACGCCTGAGGCCTTCCCGTGGTCCAAAGCAACCTTCAGGACTGATTCATTTGTGGCACTCGTTGATTCAGCCTGGTCACAGAGATATGAAGCAGGTATGTCAGAGTTGTTAGTTTTTAAATTTGAAGATGGAACACACAAGTTTTGGAGCAGAAAACGTACGTGGTGTCTCGGATCAGCGAGCATTGGGAAGAGACCTCGAACTATAAGCGATTGCCTTGCCTGCAAGTGTACAAGATTACCTTAGGTTTCTACAACAGGCACATCAATGATTAAGGATTCATAGAAATGCTCTAAAACCCCATCTTTGTGCAAACTCTTTTTGCTAGTCAATGACAGCTGAATGGCTGGTAAACCCACTCTCTCTTGGGAGAAAGAGATATTATAGAGGATGGCCTTGGATTCCAGTTCAATAGTAGCTGAATGAAAATAATTATACCTCAAAAGCACCACTGAAACTCCACTTCAGTTGGTTTGTCTTGAGTCTGGGGATAACAACAGAGATGACTGGCATCGTTGGTCTATACTTGGCAATCAGTCTGCACACAATAACAGGATTTTCTAGTATGAATCACTATCCGACGCAGCACATTATCTTTTCCACAATTGTTAACAAGAAGAGGAAGAAAAAAAGACTTCAGCACTCGAGGAAAGTTGTATTAGGTACCTAGCGGCCCTTCCTGATGAAGTGAAACATATGATGACAGAGGCCTTCACCTTGATGGCTGCTCGAACCTGGATGAAACCAGAAAACAGGGATTAGGATTATTCTATTTTCAGGTATGTACTTGACAATCAGTCTAACAATCTATTCAATGAAAAATATTCAGAATAAGTGCATTACCGCAGAGGAGGCAATAGATTCTAAGTGAGTCATTGGCTCTCCAACATATTTGACAGTTTTCTTGAAATAGACATCCTGATTAAAAACCTTCTCTGCCTGCAAGAATTGACCAGCATAGCAAAAAGATTAAGCTCATAATGGAAGAAAGAAACATCACATCTATGATCAGGAAACCAAAAAGGTCTCCCGTGGATAACAAGCTTATAACTTTTGAGTCGCTACAACACAACCTAGTGATCTACAAGCTGCAAGATTCCAATGAAGTAGACAAAGATATGGATAGTTCATAATAAACATGAAAAAGTTAACCTCACAACAAATTCTGCCAACAGTAGAAATGGTTTCCACAGGATATATCCCACGAAGAGTTTCAGCACCAAGAAGAATTGCGTCACTCCCTACGCCAAGCAAAAAAATAATTGAAGTGCATATTCAGCAAACTTTAACACAAATATTATGTAGAAATCAAAATCAGAGATTCTGATTTCCGGTTTGGGAGTTCACCATCTAGAACAGCATTGGCAACATCAGTAGCTTCAGCACGAGTTGGCCTCAAATTGTTTGTCATAGTGTCTACAACACGGGTGACCACAGCAGGCTTGCCAGCCATGTTGCACTTGTAAAGGGCAGCTTTCTGAAACAAGAACACCTAGAAGAAACAAAAACAATATAAGCCAGCAACCAAGCACACAAAATACTTGGCAGTTTGGACACCACAAACTGATATAGTTCAGTTAAAGGAACTGCGATTTGTAAATTGGAAAAAAAAAATTGTAACCTTCTCAGGGGGCAGATCTATGCCCAGGTTCCCTCGGGAAAGAATAATGCCATCAGCCTCTTGTAATATCTCATCAAAATGCGTCAATCCCTACAAAGAAACAACAGTAAGGAAACATAAGCCCCACGTAAGAGAGTATTGCTGAAAACTAACCTAAGAAGCTAAATGCTGTATAATAGTTACCTCAACATTCTCAATCTTAGCGAAGATTTGAGTTTGGCTCAGGTCGCCTAGCTTAGAGAGGTATTCACGGGCCTGCATTACCATACAAGAAGCCAATTTTAAGAAAACGGATAGCCAGTATAGGTTTTCAAGATAACCGTGAATTCAGTGATATGAATGCCTTATAAGAAGGCTTACCTGACGGACATCTTCGGCATGTCGGGTATAAGATAATGAAAGAAAGTCGATTTTATTTGGCACTCCCCAGGCACTAATAACCTAGAATGAGAAAAAAGAAAGCAAAAAAAAATGTACTTCATAAAAAAACAAGAAGAGTAAAAAAGAAAATTATCATGGAAGAAAAGGAAAGGGAGCTCATTCAGCTCAAATTCGAAGGAGTAAAAGAACACTGACCTCCTTATCCTTTTCGGAAAGGGTAGGTAGTTCAATACGGATTTGAGAAGCATGTAGAGTGAACAACGACCCTGCCAATGTAGCGGTATTTTTAATCACACATACCACATCTTCTCCTTTGACCTCAGAAACCTGCACAATTCGAAAACGATTGCTGTCACTAGGAGTTCGATTATTCAGGAGACCTAGGTGTAAGTGTAACAACATATTTCTTCTCGAAGTAATTCTATCTACTTGGAAATGAAGAGCCACTGAAGCTTTATTGAAACAGCTGTTTCTGTATAGTCCAAATCTCACTTCGTCCTATGATAGCCAAATCAATACAGGGTTGTCTTGTACATTACCTCCAGCCACACAGAAGTAGTTTCACTGCCAGTGAAGAGATATTGACCAACAAATATGGTATCTCCAGGTTTCACAGCCTGGAAAGGAAAAATAGATCATCAGTCATCAGGTTCAGAAGGTGAAGAAAAATTCATGATATGAATAAGCCCCTCACAATTCAGAACAAGCAAATATGAGTTTCAATGACTATGAAACTGAAACTGGTCCTAAATTCATTGTAGTATGCCAACAGCATGAGCAAAGTCCCACAATGCTCACTACACTCACAACTGAAAATACGAATGAAGAGTGGCAAAAGGGAAAGGGGAAAAAATGGAGAAAAGGTTAGAACCTTGGCTAACCCATCAAAGTTAATGGGCAATATTTCTGATGAGGCATTCTGTTCCTTATCAGGTGTCAGGATGACAAGACCATCTTGCAGGAGTGAAATGGGTTGTTCACTTCTGTTAAGAACCTGCAACTCAGGACCCACCGTATCGAGCATAACCTGTATCACGGAGAGAATTCCTCAAATTATCATCTAGCACCATTCACCACTACCAAATACAACCATAAGGTAATCTCAAAACTACTAAGCAGAAGCAATCAAAATAGGCTAAAATCACAAACTAGCTGAAAACGGATCAAAATGTTTCATAGTAGCTACTATGAAAGAAGTGGCTAATCATCACTGCTTCGTTCTCAATTAAGCACCAAAAGGAGTGACCTTTTAGATTCTTAAAATCCATCTTCAAAAAAGTAGTACGAATGAATCCACAAACTAATCATCAACAAGGGGACACAATCAAAGGCAACAAACCGCGCAGAGCTTCCTGGTGCTCTTGATGGCAGCTTTCAGGTTCTCCAAAGTCTGCTGGTGATACTCAGCGTCGCCCCAGGAGAAATCGAATCGAGCCACTGCACCAGAAATGACAAAAAGAGATCCATTACCTCCGGAACGGAATCAAGTCCAAACGCAAGTAAATGGGGGAGCAAGCAGTAAAGTACCCGACATTCCAGCCGTGAGGCAGCCCGCAATCATCTCCGTCGATCGCGAGTTGGGGCCGAGAGTCCCAACAATCTTAGTCATTGCCGGGAAGAAGCTCTGCAAATTCAAAAGTCAGAAGAATAAAATCAAACAGTTGACGGAAAACTCATACGTGTAGTTGCCAGATCCGAATCAGCATCACCACAAACGGGCCATGGAGATTTGAAGGGCGGAAGGCGATTTTGAATTGCGAGAGAGAAGGATACTCACAGACTTGGAAGACTCGAGGATTGACGCCATGCGAATGGGCTCCTCGAGAAGCAGGTGGCTGGAATGCATCTTGGCCGAGTTTGAGCGAGCCGGGAGAGAGCGATCGATATGCGAGGGGAGAAGGGAGAAAAAGCAAGGAGAAGCGTGAAGCCGACGAAGGAAGGAGGAAGAAGGGAAGTTTTTTTTGCCCTTTCGATCGAATTCCGGTTGCTGCCCTGCCCTGTCCTGCTCTCCTCAGAATATGCCCACTTTGGTCCTTTTTGTGTTTGCTGGATGGCCCTTGCCTTTTTGTTAGGTCGAGAGAGAAAAATAGTAATAAAACGACCGATAGAGAAACGGTGGGAAAAGGGGAAGCGGCCCGGTTCCTCTACACTACCGCCACGGAAGCTGTCTGTGTGCCTTTCTACTCAAGTTGCCCATAAATTGCCAATTCAAGGTTAAGTATGATAGCAAAGGTGAACCCAATTGTACTTGGATTCAGTGTTAGTCATTACAAATTTCAATTTTTTCAATATAAATCAAGTTAATTGTCCTTTTTATGTGTATTTAATCCCCCGAAAGATAGGTTGCATGTGAACCTTTCATACAATTGTCCTTTTTAATTGTAGCAGCTTGTACGTTCAATTTACAACGAGAAAGCACCGCTACAATCTCTTAAACGCACCAAAAATTAAGCACTGTGCCATGTGTCTGACAATGGCAACCTAGGTGCATGATACTCTGGTACTACCGCGAGGCAGGCAATCAAATTCCTGTCGTGGGGAAGGAGTAAGTAGGAAAATGAAAGCGACACACGTGGCGCGTGGGTTACCGAGCGCGAACCTGTTGGCTTGGCGGGTTATTCTTGGCGGCTACTGATCCGCGCGCGTGGGCGGGAGGGAGGAGTTGGTTCGGTTAGTGCCGGGATGGGTTAGGTGTAACGCACGTGCCTCGGCTGCGTAGGTGGAGAGGGGTTCGTAGTATATTATTGTCTCCTATACATGTTTTTTTGTTAGCTGATTATTGTGGGAATTGTGTGTAGACGTGGAAAATAGTGAGGAGGAGGATGCCAAAGTGGAAAAGTGGGGGGACGCCCTCAGGAAAGGAAAAGGTCAGAAAGAACTTCGCCAAGGTCAAAAAAGAACTCCTAAAACAAAACCAATGGGCCGTCGCTTTAATAAGTCTCAAGGAGGGAGCCGCTGCTTAGCTTAAGGACAGTTGTTTTGTTACTTAATAACTAGTAAAGAAGCCCGCGCTCTGCGGCGGGGAGACTATATTGTGGGAATGGAGAGTTGTAAGCGAAAGAGCGGAGTCATTGTGCATGTGAATAGTTTGTACGTACATCGCGGATACATAAGTCTGTTGATGTTGAAGTGCAAATATTGCTAAATACTGGCATAATATAGGTAAGACAACGGTCGAGCACAATGACTTTCTGCGCAAGCGTTGACGTTTTCATTAGTTTATTGTTAGAGCTGGCTGCGGTCGAATGCAGAAAGTATAGTAAACTCCAGAGGAGTCTGAGCCAGATTTCCAGGTTTAGGGAGTTGCACACAAAACGAAAACCAACAGCCATTCATGGCCACAATTGGCGGAGGGAAATGGCCATGGCGGTGGGGATGCTGCAACAATAGTTCGTTTGGTGTAACTCCAAGCAAAGATTCAGCGGTCTTTCCAAGTGCGACGAAGCACGCCGAACCAGTAGTGTCTCCGACAGCCAAATGAATTTTGTAGCTGTAAGAATGTATTAAAATTTCAGGGGTGAATTGGGCGTGCCCACTTGACTGATGGGGAAAAGGTGGATTTTAAACTAACCAATGTTCGGTTTCTTCAGCCTTTAGTTGGCCATGTTCTTCACAAAAAAAATCACCAGTGCCAGGAAATTCCCTAGCTGTCTTAAAGCAAAAGGCACATCCTAAGTAGAACCATGATCTTGAAGCCTCAGTGGAGAGGACTTGCGCCAAACAATAGTACTGGGTAGCCTGTAGGTAAACAAAACTGGTGAGAAAGTGTAGCTAAGCAGGCAAGAAATTTGTTAGTTTACTGGCAAAAGGGACTGGAAAAACAGATCCATCTAGTGGTGAGGCAGAATAAATTTTGAAGCATGAAAATAATGGCTGGCTACATTAATAGTGCAGATTATGCTTTAACCTGCCATGAAGTAATAAGATACAGTGCTGTGACAGTAAAAGTTATGACAAAAGAACGCACGTCAACCATTGGATTTCTGGAAAGGCGGATGAGGTCCATAATTGTCTTGGTACTGTCAGCTCGAAGCATTTCCTCTTCAAAATAAGTGGAAAAGCATGGAGGATAATAGCGGATCGTATCTGTACCACCAGTAGCACTACAATTTCGAAAGTATATGAGATAAACGGAAAGTCAACTACTAAAAGCGGCATCTTGTAAGAGACTTACGTAGCACGCAAAACATTTGCCAATGCAGAAGATGGCTCCAAAACAAACCGTGTAGCGGAGGTGCTGGTTAAAAAAATGCCGCCTTTGGTAAAGGTAGGAAAGGAGATGTGAGTCGTCGTAGAATGGATTAGCAATAGCATTAACTGTGAGGGATAAAAGTGCAGTGTAAACCTGGTGTGGCGTCAGTAACTTGAAGACTGCATACACCAAGTATAACAGATCCCATGCGGCTAAGATATGCTAGTTCTTCTCCATCTAGTGATCGAGCAACATCGCCACATATGGTGATGTTAACACGTTTATTTCTGCAATAGTCAAGTGCAGGTTAGACGGAGATGATTGGAATTACGGTTAATCAAATACAAATGGAAAGGTACACAATCGCATTGCATTGAAAACCTTTCGTTTTGTATGACCAGTTTCCGCCTAATAATAGCACCAGTGGATGTTGCCGAACAGGATAACCCGCTCACAGAAACAACTCTGCCAACAACATCTACATTTGGAGAGGTGTTACCAGAGCGTCAATTCATTAGTGCAAAAAAACCAATCAAGTATATGTGATGAGATTACAGTAATTGCCAGGTGAACCTATGAGCTGGTTTGTTGAGCGAGGTAAGCCGTGCAAGGAACTGAAGTGTAAAAACTCAAATGAATCAGCACAGAAACCCGGTGACAACATGGTTACATCCTCAAATATGGTTCCCTGAGAAAGGACCAAACTAAATCTATGGGAGCAAGGGCGGCACAGTGGCTGTGGTTTTGCCAGCTGGAATCCAGTAACTAAGTAGACACACCCTAGTTGCAGGTATGGGCCAAATCGGTGACCTAAATGTGGTGTCGCGATGGCCTGGATTAAGGTTCCCTGTTAAACAGGGAGGAGGCGAAGCAAGAGAAATGACCGAAGAGCACAATTTGCACTGGTAACTGCAAAAAAAAACGTTTAAGGAAATGCTATATTACCTTGGAATCGGTCCAAAGACTGCAAAACTGTGAGAGAATGGATGGATTTTCTGAATTGCAATCACCCCAAACATGCAAGAGGCGTATCTTGAGAGCAGCTTCTGGCCCTTCAGTTCCATTCAAATCCCGAAGCAGCTTTTGCGGAAGCATGTCTCTTTTGTGAGGAAATTGGGGACGGAGATCGAACCGGATGACACCAGAAGGAAGGTTGAACAGGAACAGTGTGCTGATTCAGGATTTTAGTGAGGAAATAGCGGAAGAAGAGTAAAGTTGATGAGAGAGGATGAAAAGTGAGATAAGAGCAGGGATCTTCCTAAACGTTGAATAAAACAACAAAAGACATAAACTTTCTCTCGAACTGTTCAGTGTTTCTGCGGCCCAAAATGATTCAAAATACAATAAAAATGGTCGTAGAAGAAAGGCCTAAAAGACAAGTGGTGTGAAGGGAATCTATTACTTTTCAACTGAGGCAACAGTACAGTAAACGGGGGAAACATACTAACACTGGAGGCTAGAAGGGAATGACCGATTTTAGTCGAATTACAGGAGGTTACATTAGGAACATAGTACACTGTAGATAGCGAATCAGGGGTGGTTATTGATATCTGTAATGATCTTGAGATCTAATATAACAGAACAGTAACGACACAAGAGTGAAGACAGAACACTCAAACACATGTAAAACAAAGGAACTGCAGAAAGGGCATAACTAAGACGAATAAAATACGAACGTGCATTGCCAAGTACATTGTTTAGATCTGAACTATTTGGATGGTTGAGCTTAAAGGGTAGCTACCATACACAACGTACCAGAACAGTTTATGTTCAGAATGGAAATAAAGATGGACTATTCCAATTCTCAAAATATCGAATTAACTAATAATGTTGCAATCCATGTCTTCTGGGCCTGCCTTACTTTGATCCTTCCTCAGCCAACAACCCAATTCGTTCCTTAGTCCTAAGAGCTGCAATAAGAACAGACATGTGGGTATTTATTAGTGCGCAAAAAATGGTTGTGCCCACGAGCACTAATGTTCCACTGAATGCAAAACAAAAGTAGGAAGGAATGTACCTTCGTTGACTGCAACGTAAGGGTTCGGTCAGATGCGCAATTTAAGTTCTCGCAATGGCTGAAATGCTTTTGAATCCCAAATCGCAAACATGCGGATGTGTGGTTCATCTGAATCTTCTGATCCCACGATGTACAGTTCTGCCATTAGCTGAACATTGCAGAATGTTTTGAGCAACTCAACTCTCTCGTCATATGGCATCATTTGGAACTCGAGCGGTGGCATACGGATTAGAGCAAGAGAAGGTTGATGATTCAGAACTATTGTTGCGGTGTGATTTCCTGATTCGCATTCAGCCTGCAATTCGTAGTACAATCTAAACGTATACGTAGATTAGAAATGTGGTAGCAATGAATTGTTACTTAACAATAAGGAAAAGAAAAGTAGTCGTAATTTGGAAATACTCAGTGTCTTCAGGAAAAGTTTTGCAGGTCTCAGAACCAAGATGGAACTTAAGTATCTTCAATTTGCATCGATAGAGTATCTGTCACACGGATTGAATTAGGAAAAATGTCAAATCCAGTTTTTGTTAGTAACTAAAACATTTATTTTGTTGGAAGGCCACCTGAGGATGCTTGATAATTTTCATATATACTTGCTTAACAATCTACAGTTGCAGAAAGAAGGTAAGGAAAGTCACCTCAGTTTCCATTTCTCCTAATGGAACTTTGGTTTTCAATTCCAGCAGTGAAATTCTGGGAGGAATCTTGCGCCGAAGGTATCCAAGGCGCTCCTTCGAGCTGTAGTCAATGATGTCCACTGGCAATCTGTTATGAAAGAACCTAGTAGGTTTGTTGTGTTTAATTAGCTAACTGGTAGAAGAAGATGCATATAATGAAAAGAAAGATGCAAAT